CACCTACGTAACGTTGTTAGGATTCCTTTAATTCAATATAATAAAATCGATGCATATTGATTTTCGTGCGTTAATACGGCAATGCAGTTAAGTGTAGACTAAAGTGGATTCAAAATTTACTACGATCTTGAGCATCTAGATCTACGAGCGCAATCATCGAAAATGGCTTCTTCAGGGTGACACTTTTGAATGAAAAGCTCCCCGTCTGAAACATTTGAGCACTTCTACTCTTATTTGGTTGTTTGACTTCAGTGATACCTTTAAACCCTCTTAGAGCTGCAGTTAAAAACGTTGACCAATGGAGGTATTTACGAAGTTGAAAGTGGGTTTTGTTTCCCATCAGCGTCCATCATTTTCATAAACTCCTCGAGAACGCTTGAGGCTTTTGCTTGAACGTTCCACAATTCAACTTTTTAATTGATTGCGTGAAATCTCATTGGGAGATACAAAGAGACAAGGGTTGCATTGGCATTTCTCATTTGTAGCTTACAAATAATATAAGTTCATCAAGGTGGTATAGGTGGAATGGTACAGATCATTTGAATCCTAGCTCTCTCATCTTGAAAGATCATGCAACTGTGTGCATTATATAAGGGGATTGATCGATTTATCGATTTATCGGTGACACACACTCTGCACCGATCGATTTATCGATCTATTAATAGTCGATTTACCTGATCATCTATTTGATTTTAATTCCTTTACTTGATACTTGACGACTTCAATCACCTCTTTTCATCTATTTCTAATCTTCTAGTACTCCATTATTTTCAAACGCCCATAAAGGTCTGTAATATTGAGCTGATGTACGCACTGGTCCGACGTGCCGCTAATGAGCTGTTGAGAAGGAATCCAACCTATTTTTATGAAATTTATCCGACAAGATGTATGCATTCACAAGCCGAATGATTTTCAAGGCAATTGAACGCATGGCGCTTCAGAGGGGAATCATCGCCAAGCACTTTTTTCATTTACCGTGCTGAGGAAAGGACACTGAATGCTCTGAGTGTCGCGACCATTAACACGTTGACGACAGCGTGACGCGGTAACGCGTCCCACCCAAGTCATCCCTTTTTCTTGCGCTTGCGCGACTTATTCCTAAGGTCTTTGTACTCATTCTATAGGCCATACATTAGCATACTTAAAAACCACATGGCTCACAGAAAGGCCAAATATTCTTTAGTTTGGCAGAGGTTTTCCAGACCTTACGGATATGTCTGTTCAGTTCATTCCTCGTTTTCTTTTCATTAACCTAAGCATGATGATAAAACAAGAGAACACATTACACCACGAACGAATACAAACCTATTTCGTAGGGAGAGATACTGTTTATTATTTGAAAGAACTTGGATGTTTTTGAACACAACTAAAGGCGAAGTAGGAGTAAAACTTTGACCTTCTCCCATAGCTAACACGATATCTTCGGATGGAGTCGACTCAAGGGCACTAAGAAATCGGCCAGATAAGTTAGACAGATCGAACATTATTGAAAACACATTTCACACAATCGTGACACACATCAGTGTCTGCATATATTAACAGGTCAAAGTTGATGAATTTTGTGTGCAGGGTGCGGGGCAGCGCCGCAAAATTGTTACTGTTCACACGCGGTCTGCAAAAACCCAAAAGCAACGCAACCGCGGTGTCGTCAACGGTGTGTAAAAGTCAAGCTTCAATGAAAATGATACGGCTTGATTTTCGCTGTTTCAAAGTTTCTACATGTGTTGCTGTGACTCCCCAGCGAGCGCCCGCTCCCGCGCAGAGACAAGGCAGTCGCGGACGTTGCGCGCGTTACTATTGATGGACTTCGGGTGTTCGGCCGGGAAGACATAGTGAAGGGGGCGACTCTCGGTCAACTGTGAATGAAGGAGTTCCCGGACGCACGTTCCACAGTCGGCATTAGCACGCAGACATGAGTGCAACTCGTCCGCGACTCTGCCTTCTTGCGCGTGTTGGGCCTATGCGGGCGACCCCTTCGAGTGCTGTGGATAATTTGACTTGGTGCTGGATTGATTGATATAACACACTTACAGGCAAAGGTCGAATGCTGAAAGAGGACGAGTGTTATGTGCAATTCATGACGAATCCGTATTTGAATATGGGCATGTACATCTCATATTACTGGTCAACTCTTTTCGTAATGCTCTATCTCTATTGGGGAATTTATCGAGCCGCCAAACAACTTGCCATGAAGAGCGATCAGGTACGATACTGCTGACAGCAGATACTTTCAGAACGAACAAAGTGGAGTTTATGGCCTGATGTTCGGAATCTGGAATCCCACACTATTACGAAATTTATTAACTGATTTCGCCACACCGGCTGAGTGTGGGGGGCGGAGTAAGAGGAAGGCGGGGTTTATGTGGGAACCTAAGCTTCCAGGTTCGTTTCTGGCCATTGCGTGCACTTTGTAAGGATAGCGTCGGATTTGCCCCCCCCCGCATTTCCTGCACGTTTGAAAACCGGATTTCCTTGTGATTGAAGCTATAAACTTTTAAATGCACAACAGTAAGGATTTTAATAAGGGTTGAAACCCTTTAAGCCCAATATTCTGAGGTGCAAGATGCTCCGAAACCCAATGATTGGATGAGAAGGGAATAGTTAGATTAAAGGTAAAACATTGAACCTAGAAATATTGAAGTGGGAAGAGCAAGGAAGTAGTATAGTTCGACTCTGATTACAGTAAATTCGATGTTTTGATATGGCAAGGAATATTGGTGTTGGAATTGTTATAAATGATAGAAAAAGGCTACGAAAACCTGGATCTCATCCTGAACTCGATTATCTATTGAATGGGATGTTCCAGAAAACTAAACGGCTGGCTCTGTTGACCGAATTGCGGAAGCCGGAATTGTCGGTGCGGACAAGCGACGCAAATAAGAGCAGTTCCGATTCGCCGAATGACAACGATACCAGCGATAGTAGCAAGTAAGCTCATACATCAGTTAGGGTTTTAGCCTATAAGGGTTCAGACTTTTTGTACATATTTCAGATATAAGAGCTGTTTAGTATGAAAAATTGTTAACTTTATCTCTACGGTTGCTGTACCC